TCATGTAAGAGTACTGCTACAGGCAGATTTATAAAATGATAAGGTTCCATTCAACAACCACTAATTGACCTTTTTACTACATGCTAGGCACTGAGATAAATAGATGAATCCTGATCAGCTCCTCTCCTCCAGGAGGTTACAATAAAAAGGACATAGAAGTACTGACAATGCACTCTGGAAAATGGTTTAGAATGGCATTCAAATAGTAGCAGAATGTCAAAGAATACACAAAAATCCTTTCTACCAGATTTTAATTTCCTCTCCACTGACCTTATCACAATGTATTTCACATCCCAGAAAAAAATTATTATAGACATCTAAAACATAATGGTATATGAAACATTGTAGCACACAAAATTATTTATATAGACTATATGCCTAGATCATAAAATTAATAATACTCATATTCAAAATTCAAGGCTGGGCGCAGTGGTGCAAGCCTATAATCCCAGCAGCTCTGGAGGTGGAGGCAGAAGGATCGCAAGTTCAAAGTCAGCTTCAGCGATTTAGGGAGGCACTAAGCAACTCAGTGATACCCTGTCTCTAATGAAATACAAAATAGAACTAGGGATGTGGCTCAGTGGTTGAATGCCCCTGAGTTCAATCCCTGGTACTCCTCCCTACCCTCCCCCACCAAAAAAAGAAAAGAAAATTCAAGCATTGGGCTGGGGTTGTGGCTCAGCAGTAGAGTGCTTACCTGGCATGTGTGAGGCACTGGGTTTGACCCTCAGCACCACATAAAAATAAATGGATGAAATAAAGGTTTTGTGTCCATCTACAACTAAAAAAATATTTTTAAAAATCAAGGATTGCCTAAGGATCAAAGGAAAAAGTACTAATCAGGCAACTGCTATAAATATTGTGGGAAATAGACTACCAGATAAATTTCTCTCACACCAACACACACACACACTTTTTATAATAGGAATCACACTGCTACTAGGCAACCTGATACTTTCACTCAAAAATGTTTAATCCGTTTTAATTACTGTATTCAATGGTGTAGTGGGCCTCCGTTGTGGTGTTGGCCTTGTATATTCACTCTGATTGCTTCTTGGAAACTGCTACATTTGTGCTTCCGGAGGAAGCCTTCAGTCATAGTCTCACATCTTCTTCCTCCAACAGCCGGTGGAGCAGCCCATTGATCTGACCTGGCTTAGCCATGGTACAAACAAGGTAAGCAAACAAGAAAAGTTTGCTGTCTGGCTACTTTCTCCTCCCACCCAGTCTCAGATTCATTTTGGGGATTTTCTACATTTAGATGGCCTATGACATCTAGTTATTTGGGGCCCATTTTCCTTATTCATATTCTCTTTTCAATTCCATGTTTTCCTTTTCCTTGATTGTTTTTAGTCTTGCTATTAGCTCCACTATGCTTGGTTATTTCAACTTTCCTCTGACAGTAAATTTCCAGATTCCACATTTATTTCTTGGTTGGGTGTGGTGGCACACACGTGTAATCCCAGCAACTTGGGAGGCTGAGGCAGGAGGATCACAAGTTTGAGGCCAGCCTCAGCAATTTAGGGAGGCTCTCAGCAACATAGCAAGACCCTGTCTCAAAATAAAAAATAAAAAGGATTGGGGGATGTAGCTCAGTGGTTATATACCCCTGAGTTCAATACCGAGGAATAAAAAAAAAATTGCCCATATTTACTTGACATTTGAGTTACACCAGCAGCCAGCTCTAGTATAGGCATCCTGTGCCAGTCTCCTCTACAACAACAGATCCATTCCTATAACTCTGTGGTTCTGAGGGTCATTGCCTTTCATAAATACCTCCTCTTTAAGTCTACTCTTTTGTAATGAAAATGCTGGGTGGGGAATCAATTCTGATAGTGTCTCCTCCAAAGGCATACAGCTATCATAGTTCTTTTGAAAACCAAAGATAAATAGGCAACCCATCATTACTTCATTCATTTATTTAAGCAAATATATTTCCAGATACTTTTAAGAAGGGCTGGGAAATCAAAGGTGAGTGAAACAAGATAGTTTCCCTTGGTAAGTTCACAGTTCAGTCATGTAGACAGCCAGATATGTAAGCATATATTTATAGTAAGCAACACAATTTTATAAATACATACATACATATATATATATATATATATATATATATATATAAATATTTTCTCAGCAAAAAATGTGGACCAAAAAAGACAAAGATCAAAAGTTAACATTTTGTTTATCTGTATTTTCAGGAATTTTCCCTCAATGTATATGCATGTGTGGGTGTGTCTATAGGTTTTTTTCCCCCCAGTACTTGGGATTGAATATAGGGTCTTTTATAGTACTATTTTTTAAAATAAGGAGGAAAAAAGCATTTACAAAAAGCAGCATAATGGAATACAAACTATATTGAAAGTGTACACACTATCCCAAGGAAGCAATTAGCTTTTCTGGGGAAGTTAAAGCAAACCTTGAAAATACCTGTCTCTTCAGTCTTGCACCTCTATGTATTTCTCACATGCCAACCAAATGCAATGCATGGCCTTGTTTAGATCCTGGTCCAAGCAGACCAACTGTAAAAATATTTGTAAGGAAAGTGGGGAAATTTAAACTCTGACAGGATATTTGATGATTCTAAGGCAGTATTATTCTTATGAGGTAGGTTAAAGGTATTACAATAATGTTGGAAAAAATAACCCTTATCTTTTACATAAACATACTGACACATTGATGGATGAAATGACATGCCCTCTGGGCTTTTCTGAGTAAATAATTCATTGGGAGTATGAAGTGCCTCGGTATATAAAATGAGTGGACATGGATCGATGATTATTGAAGTTGGGTAATAGATTCATGGGTACACATTTCAAGATTTTATCTTCTTTTGTGTTTGAAATTTTATGTAATAAAATATGCAATAATGATTAATAATTTTTCTATAATAAACAAAAACATCTTTTAAATGTATCTTCAAGTTTCAGCTCAGAAGGCATCTTCCCACCAGCAATGAGCACATAACAGTTGATCTACTTGTGTGTTGACAAGTACATAAGCAACACTGACAGACTCACTGAGCATTCTACACTATTTCACAATCATTTGATCTGTGTCAATGCACTCATCTTGTAATTTTCAATTTTTAAAATGTTATTTAATGTCTATAGTGTACTTACTTATAAGAATAAAACATTTTAATCTTTTATCATTTATACATGAGCCATCTTCTTTTTGAAAGAAATCCATCATTTAGATTCCATCTGAACTTTGCACATGTAATTGAGTATTTGTTCACTTATATTTAAAGAAGATCAGCGTGTTGCACATGAAACCTATTTACTAAATAGGTGTTGTTATAAACACAATATTTTCTCTAGTAGGTTATAAGACCAGCAGATATCAACATTTTAATTGTCTGTATACCCAGCATCTACCTATATCTGGTACATTTCAAGTGCTCAATAAATATCTGTTAAGTGTATGAATGAATAAATGAAATTTGGCTTGACTCCATTTATAGATTTATACTAAGTCCAGTGGGATAACCTTTAAGACTAAAGAATGTAAACTAAATCAAGCTTCTTAGTTTACTCAGTTCTTCACAATACATTTAATCAAAAACATAACATTCCCAAATTAAGTGTCCATTTAACATAATAACTTTGAGCCCAAATAGCAAAGAAAAATGAAGTATACTTTTTCTTTTGGGGATAAGAAATGAAACATACTTAATAGCCATCACTTATCTTCATTCTTCTCCTGAGTCTCCCAGTTGCAAATATAGAGTAGGGGAGAGGTGAATCAGGAGTGGTACAAGGTTAAAGGAAGACTAAGGGATTGTTAGTGACAGAGTAAGTCTCAGATTTAGTAAATTACTATTTTACATAATATTGGATGCTATTTCTTTTGGTGGCAACATTTCTTTCAGTTGCCACACACACACAAAAAAAATCTTCTGAAAACATTTCATGACATTTTTTTCAGGCTGTGTCAAAAATCTCAGCATAAAAATGACTTGTTCAAAACATGTACCCATTTGGTCTCCACAATACCAGTGGGAGGTAAACAGCCTATATCTCCATTTTTTAAAATATTTTTTAGTTGTCAATGGACCTTTATTTTATTTATTGATATGTGTAAGTACACTATAGACACAGTACTGAGATTGTACCCAGTGCATCACATATGCTAGGCAAGTGCTCTGCCACTGAGTCACAACCCTACATTTCCATTTTAAAGAAGAAGAAACCAAGGAAATTTGCCCTTCACTTAGCTGGGATTTTATAATATGGCCTAATTTTTAAGAATGCAGTATACTAGGATAATAATATTATGTTATTACTGTGAAAAAAAGAGCTATTTGATGTAACCATTAGATTTAGTAGGACTCCATAACCCCCAAAATAAGTACAATTTTTATGTGTTAATTAAAAAAAGATTCACATGGAAATTTAAAAAAGCAGTACTTTTTAGATTCTTTAAGGAAATATTTGAATGACCTCCAAACTCAAAAACCTTCAAAATGAAGGAGATTTGTTTGTCAGCTTGGTTGTCTGTTTGTTTTTAGGTACTTGAATAACTAACTTGCTCCTTGAAAAGCAGGGGTACAGAAATCAAAGGCTTGATTGTGCTGAATCCTTCTCTTTGGTCATTATTCACACTGGTTCCCAGCAAGCCATGGCTCAAAGGAAAGGATCCAAGTTCTGTTTAAAAAATTAGAGACTAAAGAGCTTGCTCAGCACCCTGCTCACATTATGTTGCTTGTATTCATTACTTAAAACTCTTTGGATTTCTCCTTGTATGCAATAATCATAGGCTTCTGGGATTAGTCTCAGAATATAGGAAGAACCTCTAGACTTATGGTGAAAAACGCTTTTCATGGATGTCCCTTCTCTTCAAAAACCCCCTTGAACAGCAAAGTCCTCAGGCATAATTGAGACCTGCAACCTGGGGAAGAATTTTACAGAAGTGCAGTTTTTGTTGTTGTTTTGTTTTGTTTTTCTCCCACTTGGTTGGGAAAAGGAGAATAAAACTGGCCCATTGCTGCTCATCTACTCAGGAATGGACAGGCAATGACTTATTGTTTTAGCATCAGGAAGAGTGAGAACGTATTACTGATTTTTCCTTCAACATTAGAAAGTTCCTTGAATTTCCCAAGACTCCACAAGGGGCTGAGGGCGTAGCTCAGGGGTAGAGTATTTGCCTAGCATGCACAAGGCCCTGACTTGGATCCCCAGCACTATAAGAAAAATGAAATTAAGATAAAAGACTGTGGAGCTAAGACCAAGAACATCAAGAGTTGTTCGGTATGTCAACACAAGTCACGAAAGGCAGGGCTTTTCTAAGGACAATAGAATTATATCTACCTTTTGATACAGTAGGTGAAACGGAAAGAAGAGATTCTGGAGCAGTTATACCAGAAGAAGAATCCCAAAGCAAAACTCTTTTGCCGAAGGTTATCTAACTCTCCTTGGCAGGTGCACGGGTGGAGAAGGCATTTAGTCCTTGAAGTAAGGTTACATGGAAGGTTACGACAATGATGTCAAGCTTACAGCAATCCAGCTGTTCCTGGGCGCAGAAGCACCCCCAGGACTGCGGCACAGAAAATACGCTAGCGGGTCTTTCGCCCCTCCCCCGTTCCACTCCCGAGGCCCTGGAGTAGCCCCGGAGTCGCTGACGCCATCCCTTCCCGCCTCTGGCTTGCATGGAGCATGCGCTTCCTCCCTCACTTCCTTTCCGGGAGGGAGCCAGAGTAAAGCTACGCCCTAGCGGACCTGCGGCTGGCCCCGCGTCACAGGAACTTCAGCACCCACGAGCGGACAGCGCTCTCTTCCACCTGGAGACCCGGCTCCCGAGCGCCCGAGTCCGTCAATTCCCTTCACTCCGAGCGACGCCGAGCTCCCCAGGCCTCCGGTCCCTGCCACTCTCCCTCCCCGCACCCGCCCTCTTGGCCCTTCCAGCTTTTTACTCCTCTTTTCATTCATAACAAAAGCTCCAGCGCCGGGAGCCTGGCGCCAGGCTGTTTCTGAAGCCAAGAGTGGAAGAATGGGGTTCCTTTGGACCGGCACTTGGATTCTGGTGTTGGTGCTCCACAGCACCCCAATTATAGCTTTCCCCACACTGGGAGGCAGCCAAGGTATGTGTGGACACTTTCCTTCTTCCCACCTTCCTTTCATTTCGCCACGAAAAGATAAAGCTTGGTATGATCCGAGAGCTGTAAATCACCCTGCTTCGTTTTCTGATCAAATCATATCCGTGCATGTTGACAGGCAAGTCAGTTTGAATTTAGAACCAAACGGAAGACAGATTTACCACCACCCACTTTATTTTGAAAGCTAGAGAAATAATATGGGTGTTTTAAAAGATGTTATTTTCAAAGTGGGAGGAGGGAGTAGCTTTTCCACCTAAAGTGGCTTTTTGTTTGTTTGCTTGCTTGCTTGCTTGTTGTTTTACAACTCTTTTCAGATACTCTATTCATAACAGGTGCAGTATATGATGAAAGAGCTTTTAATATGCCAATAATGCCAATCCAAATTATGCCCTCTCTAGTTGAGAAAAGCTGGGAAGCCAAGTGTCAGAACTATGTGTTAAATTTCTGATGGGGGTGGGAGGGAGTGTGATTCTATTAACTCAGGAAATAATACCAAGATCATAAACAAGGAAATATTGATATTTGTTGTCTTATATTATTTATTCACATATATTGTTTCGGTCATCCAGAAATGTTTTCCTAATATTTGTTATTTTCTTTTTTAAAAGATTTTGTAAAAAATATTTTATTAGTTGTTGGTGGCCCTTTATTTTTTTTTAATGTGGTGCTGAGAATCAAACCCAGTGCCTCACACATGCTAGGTAAGCGCTCTACCACTGAGCTACAACCCCAGCTTTAAAAAGATTTTAATGAGAAATGTATTTTCTCTTTCCAATGCACAATTAAATTTATATTTGTGTGTGTTTATTCTAGACAAATCTCTACATAATAGAGAATTAAGTGCAGAAAGACCTTTGAATGAACAGGTAGGTCAGAAGCAAAATTATAAATGCCAGTTCATTTTGCTTTAGTTATTTTTTGTTGTTGTTTACAGACATCTGGAGTTTAATAGTAAATTGGTAGAAATAAGGATGAGAAATCAAGTTTTTGATAATTTCTATGCTCTAACAGTTAATTACGTTGAGTTCTGTATAATACATAGAACTGACTATCCAAGAACCCAGTAAGTTCAACATCATATCCACCCAATTGTAAGATTGCTTAATTTACCAGAGTTCTTTCACAAATATTATAGGAGAAAGAAATCACATTTATAGAGTTTCTGCCCATTATCTCATTTATACACTGTAACAATGCTTTGAGATAGGAATTACTATCTACATTTCACAAACAAGAAAACTAAATTCCATGGGGATTAAATCATTTGGCTCTTGGTAAGTAGTGAAGCATTGATTTTAAACTAAGTCTGTCTCCTGTTTGTTTCACAGATTGCTGAAGCAGAGGCAGACAAGATTAAAAAAACGTACTCTCCAGGTAAAAAGAAATTATATTGATGTTAATTTAAATAACGTGAACTATCAGAATACTAACTAAAATGGATGTGTTGGGCTTGGGATTTTTCTTCCAGAAAACAAGCCAGGTGATAGCAATTACTCTTTTGTTGATAACTTGAACCTGCTAAAGGCAATAACAGAAAAGGAAAAGACTGAGAAAGAAAGACAATCCATAAGAAGTTCCTCATTTGATAACAAATTGAATGTGGAAGATGTTGATTCAACCAAGAATCGAAAACTGATTGATGATTATGATTCTACTAAGAGCGGATTGGATCATAAATTTCAAGGTAAATGATGAAAAAGAACTTATTTTCTCTGGTTTGAAGTTTCCTATTATGTGACTAAGAAGAAGCCCTATATCTTTAAAAACATCTCTTATAATTTCATAATCTTTTAATAGTCAAATTTAATACTGGGAGATGAAGCTCAGATTTGCTGATAATGTGCAAAGTCCCCACTTCACAGAGTCCCAAATTTTACTTTTCCTTTAAAGGTTCCATTAGGGATACCTTGAAAAAAATAATAAAATCAATATATCTATGTTTTATGTTGAATTTATTTACCATTTCATTTAGTTTAACAATTTGTACAAACAAAATTATCAAAATTGTCAAATAATTAGATCAATAAAATACCTCCCATACTTAGAATATATTATATATATTATACCTCCTGTAGGATATTTATTGAAATACCCACTGTTTTCTTTTTAATATTCTCCTAGGTATGTCCTTTCTCCTTTGATCATCCTAACCTTTCTGTAGCTTCATGTACTGTTTATGTATTCTGATGTGCCAAACCACTACTTCAGACTTCTTTGAGCTATAGGCTTACTTGTCTGCTTACCTAACATCTTGCTTGGAATTCTCAAAAGCACTTAGCACTTAACATGTCCAGAATTGAACTCTAGATCTGTGTCTACCTCACAAGACCTTTTAGAGTGATCTTTGCTGCTATTCAGAAATCTAGAATTAAACAATTTATCTCTTCCCCACCTCTCAAATTCTGGTCTATCAAATTTGATTTTCACTTCCCATGTATCTCTCAATTTTATTTTCTTGCACTAGGGATTGAATCGAGGGGTGCTTTACCACTGAGCTACATCCTCAGCCCTTTTTATTTTTGATTTTGAGATAGGGTCTCCCTAAGCTGTTAAGGCTGGCGTCAAACTTGCAATCCTCCTGCCTCAGCCTCCCAAATTGCTGGGATTATAGGTGTATACCACCGCATCTGGCTTCAATCTATTCTTGATGTGGCAACTAGATACAGTATTCTTTTCAACACACAAATTAGGGGTTTTCATAAAACCCTTTAATAGATTCCCATTTCTCTTGGTATAAAAACCAAAATCCTTAATGTGGTTTCCACAGTCTGCATAGACTGGTTCCTGTCTACATTTCTAGGTTCATCCAACACACATAATCTAATAGAAACTTTGTTAACTTTCCTTCAGGCAGTTTGTAATTTTACATATAAGTGTAACTACCTATGATAAATGTCTTTCTCCAAAACTAAACTGAAAATTTTACATTATAACCCCAGTACCTAAATGCTCATGAATTCATTGAATGAATTTATGAATAAATGATTGAGCAAAAGAATACAAGAGGGAATAAATGAATTGCTGTACCTAGGCATTGAGGAAGAGAATGTGTTCTCCATTCTGCAGACCAATGATTAGGAGTGAGTACAAGCTTTCTATGTCCCTATTTTGCTCCATAGCAACAAAAGAATCATGCTGATTATCTCTGCCAGAAAACAACTGTCAGTTAAATCTGACTTTCAGAGGACACCACAGCCTGAGGGGAGTTCAGAAGTATGTTGTGCTTGTGGGGTATAGAATGGAGGCGATGGCTTATATTTTGCCGCATATCAATCTGTGCTAATTGGGGAAATTTTAAAATCTTGAATGTTATTTTTTAACCTAAAATATTTGGACTATAAATAGACACTGGCATAACTGTACAAAATAGATTTGATCCTTTTGACTGGTTTAACAAAAAAAAAACAGTCTAATGTTTGACTGGTTATATGTGCAAGCAGAGACATAAATATGTTTGTAACTTGACAACCCATTTTTAAATTGTCTGGCATTATAGTACCATCTCAAGTGAGTTTAGAACTACCAAGTGCCATCCCTGATAGCTTTATTTGTACCCATGGGATCATTTTACCTCTCCTTGAGATCACAAAGAAGCCAAACCAAAGATTTTGGAGAGAATATTTTATGGGTAAACTTCTTGTTTCTCTTAATATCTTGAAAATCCCAGAACTAGAGGGTTTAGAACCACCAAGATGAATAGGACATTGGAAGCATGCAGATTTGTCCCAGAAGGCAGGGCGAAGGAGACTAATTTGGGCAGTATATGTTCCCAAATCTAATAATGCATTTAGGAATCCACCAGATAGGCTTGTGCTATAGGGCCCATAAAGTCTTCTTTTCAGTGTTTTCTATAATACATGTGATTCAGGATTTTTCCAAGTTCCTCATGTGGTAGTGCCTTAGGGCTCCTGTGTGCATTCACCTAACAAATATTTATCATGTAGTTTCTCTGTTTCAGATAATGAACTAGATAATAAGCTTTGTGCAGTCAGAGACCATGACTAACCAATCCATTACTATTTTCAGTGGCTGACATATACTAAGACTTTAAAACTTTATTGAACAAATGAATGTCAAATATTATATTAGATGCAAAGGTTTCAAAACATAACTGGACAGTTGATGACTTGGGACATGGCCCTTTGACATCCACTCATAATGTTGTGACTCCTTAATAAAAGGTTTAAATTTTGAATCCATGTTTGACTTCCTGCTGAGGGTCTCTATAGAGAGGGTGGACTTTCCCTCCATGAGCAGCAGGGAAGTCATTATGACTGATTCTGTCCATTTCAGAAGAGCCAAGGGAAATCAATGTCAGGTAGGGGTTAGTGGCCAAGTGCTCTGTTATTAACCCCATCTAGCAAAGCTCTGCCGTGGGAGACCTATGTCCCTGGGATCAGCATATGCAGCAGTGCAGCAGAGGAAAGAGGATATTTCTTCAGTGAGTTACTAACATTCTCCCTGCTGTGAAGTAAATGAACTGAAAAACAGTCATCTCAGTTATTTTCCAGCTCCAGCAGGCAACCAGGGCTCTTCCTTTTTGAGATCCTCAGGGATGAGTGAGAAGGGAAATAAATTCTTCCACCTCTGCAGACTGGGACAGACTGTATTCCCAAGAGCCTGAGTTGCAGCTCACAAATGGAAAACTCGGACCTAAATAACAGTCTGTACTCCTGAAAAATAGATGATGAACCCGATTTCCTTTCAAGCAGTAGGGGAACTGATTTTATGGGGTTTTTGTTGTTGTTTTAATTTTTTTCCTTAAGGGCTTTTTTACTCCTTTGTCACTCTGGTACTCAGGTCTAACAGGGCTCATAGCTCATAGGCTGGTCAACAGCTCAGCAGTTATATACTGACAGAAAACTTTTAGTCCTCCATGTGTAATCACCCCACTCATTTTCCTAAGTTTCTTTCCAAACAAGAAGATATTCTTCCTGGGGCTACATATATCACCATAGAGTCTTGGAAGAAAGGTCATGAGAGAAATTCCTTATCCAAATCCTCAAAGCCATGGAAGAAAAGGGAAGAATCAGAGCAGAAATTCTAGGTTGTTATTTCTTTGAATGAATATGATGAGGATTATTTGGGCAGAATCTGGCCAGGGATTCAATTTCCATTTTCTTTAGAAGATAATTGTAGTTCCTTTATTTCAAAATCCAAATCCACTGTACACAATTACAATAATCCATTCACTTTCATATAGTACTTTGTGATTTAAAAAGTGCTTTTACATCTTATTTTATCTGATCATCATAAAAATTCCATGAAATTGATACCCTTATAATTCTTTGAAGTGTTCCAAGATAACAAGAAATATTACTGAGCTCAAATTCTGTTCTTTCCAGTCTGCCTAAGTGACAAGGGAGATTTAATTGCCTTGTAAATTGGATCTGCTCAATATTGTATAGATTGGAAAAGACTAATAGATTCCTAGTAGTTCCCTATAGATGTGTTCTGAAGCCTCATTGCCACTGATGCTTTTCCTCTGAATGGGCCCTTGCTTTAGTCTGAAGTAGTGCTGCCAAACATATTCCCAGAAAAACTAAAGATACTGTTTTCATGCTTCTCTGCAAAGATTTACATATTGCTTTTTGCAGATCTATTGCTATATTTTAAGTTTCAATTCCAGGCTCATAAAATAAATTCCCTATTCTCTGGAGAATTGGGCTTGTCAGATTAAGCTACATTCCATAAAGATACTGTGATGCACAGTCACTTAGGAGTAAATATTTATCCCAGGTAAGTCATAAAAATCTTCAGTTCACATCTCTCATTCTAGATGTGTAGCAGTTTCCCTTGCACCCAGCCCAGGAATTTGCCTGCAAAAGGAAGACAAGTGGAGATTTTACCAACCTACTCCCAGAGCAGAAATAGAATGTCAAATACAAAATGTATAGAAGGATGCTTTGACTAATATGGCATATAATATAAATGCAGCATACTCTGTAAATAAAATTAGTATTATTTCTATTATTAGTGATACTAATTAATGGAGAGGTCTGTACTATCTTCAGCTTTTATAGTCATGGGCTTTCAGAATTTCCATTATCATCCTAGATTCTTAGCTCAAAAAGCCTTGTTTTATTTCAAACCAAGAGTTTATGTGGACCAAGCACCACTATATACATCTTAAGCATATCTGAGTTTAGAAAAGCAAAGTACAGATTATAAATGTAATATGATGTGTGAAATACCTACCATGATATGAAATAATGATTATTCTCTCTAGATGATCCAGATGGCCTTCATCAACTAGATGGAACTCCTTTAACGGCTGAAGACATTGTCCATAAGATTGCTACCAGGATTTATGAGGAAAATGACAGAGGAGTATTTGACAAGATTGTTTCTAAACTGCTGAATCTGGGCCTGGTAAGTTGTATGCAAGAAAGTAAATCAAATCTTAGCACAGTTTGGAGTATGCCAAGAAGCCAAGCCACTTGACTCAAGTAGCCAAATGTTTATAAAGCATCTGCTTTGTAGTAGGCACCATACTTCTCCCTCGAGGTATTTACAGTCTGTCAGAAGAACTAGACAAGTATACACACGGCCATAATGCAAACTGCTAACGAGCCAGTAAGAACATTGCAGGATGCCAGGAATGGCTTATCTCCAACGGGCAGTTGGAGATACAGGTGTTTGAACTGAGCTTAGAAAGGTAGTTAAGATATAACTAGCAAAGTTAGAAGGTGTGTGTGGCAAAAAAGGAAATAACAGGAGCAAAGACATGCAATGCATGAAGTAAGCTAATTTCAGCCAGCCTCAGCTTGACACCATAGCTCTGGCAGGTTTGAGTAAGGTGATGACTTTGCAGAGTTTCAAAGTTTACCTGACTACGGCATGCAACTGTGGAGGAGTGACTTTTCAGGTGTTTCTCAAAGTAAGTGTTCCATGAGTTTCAACAGGCAGGACTGACAGCTTGTGTGGTTGGCCCAAAGATATGTCTTCCCAGAGTGCTGGGCAGTTACTATAGCAGCTGGCATGTAGTAGGGTAATAGGAAGGATTGTCCAGAAAGAGAATTCACAAGATTCCTATTTTATTTAATTTTTGTTCAAGGAATTGAACCCAGGAATGTTTTACCACTGAGTTACATCTCCAGTCCTTTTTTTTTTTTTTTAATCTTGAGATAGGACCTCACTAAGTTGCTGAGGCTGGCCTGAAATTTGCAATACTTCTGACTCAACCTCCTGAGTTGCTAGGATTACAGATATGCACCAGTGCATCCAGAATGATACTTCTTTTAAAAATTTATGTTCAACTGCAAAGTTTAATCTAGATTTTTTTTAAATCACAAGAATGGGACTAGCAGTTCATATATTTTGCCTCTTATAACAGATCACAGAAAGCCAGGCACACACACTGGAAGATGAAGTTGCAGAGGCTTTACAAAAATTAATTTCAAAGGAAGCCAACAATTATGAGGAGGAGCTTAATAAATCCACCAGCAGGACTGAGAATCAGGCTGGAAAAATACCAGAGAAAGTGGTATGTATATGTGTATGTTGTGTGTGTGTATGTGTGTGTGTGTTGGTACGTGCATGTGCATAGATGTGTGTACTTGGATCTGTATATAATTCGTCCTTCCTTGATGCCAAAGAAGATTTGAAGTATGTGACATTTCTAGCCCACTTAAAATGCATATCCATAAAATGCTAATAAGGTAAAAGATATGAATGAATTTTACTTGGAAAATAATGTAAATGTTACAGATTATTTTCTATTTATAGTAAAGGTTACATCTTACACCGCACTATAAAATAACACATCAAGTATGAAATAACAATATCACATAATATCTATTTGTATAGTCCCAGTATACTAGACCCAAATATCTCACAGCATTTTTAATATTCAATTTTTTTTTCAACAGGGTCTTTTTGTTGTTGTAGATGAATACAATATCTTTATTTTATTTATTTATTTTAATGTGGTGCTGAAAATCAAACCCAGTGCCTCACATGTGCTAGGCAAGTGGTCTACCACTGAGCTAATACCCAGCCCTGATATTCTATTTCTATTCATAATGGATGTCATGATCTGCTTCCAACACACACACACACACACACACTGTGCCAAAGAGTGTGTTGATTCTATCCTGTGTCACAGAAGAACAGTCCTACATCTCCCAGCCTGATGTTGCCTCCCTATTCTAGGCTGTGCTCTTCTATCTGCTCTCCCTTTCATTAGTTCAGAAGCCTGTCTGTCATCCTTTATCCACACTAGCCATTCATCCTTCCCTTTGATGGACTCCTTGCCTTTTCATTTTTTCCTTGGCATTAAATAAGCTTCAAAACTCTAATTGAATTTGACCACAAGAGAATATCAAACTCTTCATCTCTCCCTTGACTTTCTTCACCAAGCACCCAGACCCATGGCCCCTTGTCTCTTCCAACATCCTATCTAAAATAGGATGGTGGTGGTTCTGTTCTAGAGAGGTTAGAAAATAGAAATTTGGGGGCTGGAGTTGTGGCTCAGTGATACAGCGCTTGCCTAACATGTGTGAGGCACTTGGTTTGATCCCCAGCACCCCATGAAAATAAACAAATAAAATAAAGGTACTGTGTCCACCTACAACTAAAAAATATATATTTTAAAAAAAGAAAATAGAAATTTGGTCTGGATTTTTCACTAGATGGCCCAAAAATTTCCATCTCTCTCCCTACTTCCAATCCCCACTATCTGTCGTCTATAAAAATAGCTTTTAAAGATCCACCCACTAGTGAATGTAAATGTGCTTTATAGATTTATCAAAGAACTCACAACTCAAGCTTAAGGGTCTGAACTGTCATGATATTTTCATGGTCCTTCAATCCCATTCCATTCATTCACCACTAAAATGTCCATATGCTTGACTTGTTCACTTGTGCAAATGAAATATTCTTTAAACAAAGATTTATTGCATACTAACTATATTGCCAAGCACTGAGAATACCCTGCTCATTTAAAAAGATGTAATTTTTTTTCCAAGGAAGGTTAAGGTCTAGTGGAAAAGGCAGATTGTTTTCAAATAATCATCATTTTAACCACAATTGCAGTAAGTGCTCTGTAGAAAGACATGGTTCTATGAGACCTTATAAAAAAGAAAACTGTCCTGCACTTAGGCTCAGAAAAGGCTTTCCTCAGGAAGTAATCTGAGCTGAGTATTGAAGGTCAAATACAGGTTAGCATGTAAACATAAGAGGCAGCATGCAGAGAAGGAAGTATGGAGTATCCAAGCAACTGAAACAAGGACAATGTGACTGATACAGCAAGAGGGTAGTGACAGCTGAGATGGGGGAGTGGACCCAGACCAGCCCATATAGAGCCTTATGAACCATGGATGGTTTCTGATATTTTTTGTAAGAGACATGGGAAAACACTAAAAGGTTTTTTGGTAGCATTTTCTATTGCTGTGACAGAATACCTGAGACTGGGTAATATGTAAAGAGCTTTATTTAGCTCAGTTTTAGAAGCTGGAAAACTGAAGATCAGGCCATAACGTCTAGTCAGCTTCTGATAAGGCTTCATGCTGCTCTCAGTGGTGATGGAAAAGCAGAAGGACAAGTAGGCGTGTGAGCAAGAGAATGAGAGGAAATGCCAGGCTTACCTTCTAATAACCTGCTCTCACAGGAACTAAAGCATTTCCATAAGAACTAATCCAGTCTCAAAAAAACTAAACCAGTCTTACAAGAAAAATATTAATCCATTCATGAGGGCAGAACTCTTATGACCTAATCATGTCTTTAAAGCCCCACCTCCTATCACCTCTACATTGGCAGTCGTATTTCAACCTGAATTTTTGCAGGGAGAAACCACATCTAAACCATAACAGATTTTAAGAAAAAGAGCTATGTGATCCAACAACTAAAAAGATAACTCTGGCTGCAATATGGAAAATTCAGTGTTGAGTAGAGATTTTAAATGAGTGGTGTACCAGTTAGAAATGAGAGATCCAAGGCTGCTTGAGATAGTGGAGAGAGAAATTTCAAATTGGCCATAAAATTTGAAAGGAGGGTCAACATGGCTGCTGATGGATGTGATGTGGGAAAGGAAGAAGAGCTAAGAAAAGCTCTTAGATTTCTGTGTAGTCCACTGAACAGTGAATTCACTAAGATGGTGAACACCAAGAAGAAACAGATCTAGGGAGAAAAGAATTTTATGCATCCATCCCGGCAGCTCCTAAAGTGTCACCCAGAAATTCCCAAATGTGCCTGTTGTGCTCCTGCTAAACATTCTGAAAGGCTTTCCTGTAACTCTACCACCCGCTTGGTAGAGTGTATGAACAATTTGAATTGGTCCTCAAGGAAGGGCAGTTTTGTGAAGAGAGGCTCATGAGGATTCCTAGAGGGGGAACTTGGCTGAGCAGGACCATTGAAGATTTCCTGTCTCTTCTCCCCTGAACAGGAGCCAGAGTCTTCAGGGGGTCTTCCTCAAGGGAGAACGCCTTTTTCAGTTTCCATGTAACTGAGATGCATGCATGCCAAGAAATAAGTTTGAACCTACAGGGATTTGAGAAAGAGGAATCTGTGCATTTCATGTTCAAGGGCACCATAAAGGAAAGAATTAATCTGGAGTTGTGTTAATTCTAACCAAAGGCTTTTGTATGTGTGTGTGTGGATTTTTTCCCCCCTCACTGGAGACTCCAATGGCAGCAATTCAGGATGGTTTTAATAATGGAGAAAATGATGAAACAGTGTCTAACACCTTAACCTTGACAAATGGCTTGGAAAGGAGAACTAAAACCTATGGAGAAGACAACTTTGAGGAACTCCAGTATTTCCCCAACTTCTATGCACTACTGAAAAGTATTGATTCAGGTAACCACTATGTTTTCTGACCATGCAGAGCATAAATAGTAATTCTAGGAAGTGTGTGGGTGGTTTTATAAGTTCCTGTTTTCAGTTTCCAACTGTAATCCTCAATGACATACACTGTAAGCTTAGGAAAAATAGTTCACATCAGTTTTATTTATTTTAGTTTTTTTTTCCAAAACAAGCAGTCTAGTAATGGAAATATTTAGGAAAGGATAATCAGGAAAGGTAGGGTTTCTGGATAATTTGATCTTTTTGTTAACAGAGCACTCCTATATTTGTTCAACAAACAATTATTGAACATCTGCTGTGTACACAGTACTAGAAAGAATCAGGTGCAGTTATGGTGATTAATCAGTGTTCCTGCCCTGACCCAGTTCAGGCACAATTCTTTATTATTTTTTAATTTTTTAGTTGTTTATGGACACAATATCTTTATTTTATTTTATTTTATGTGGTGCTGAGACTCAAATCCAGTGCCTCACACAGTGCTAGGCAAGCGCTGTACCCCTGAGCTATAACCCCAGCTCAAGCTTCAATTCTTATTGTAACTTTTTTTTGTTTGTTTTCAGTTATATTGAGGTGTAATTGGCAAATAAAAATTATTTATCTTTAGGATGCACAACTCGATGTTTTAATATATGTACACATCGTGAAATGACTACAATCAGGCTATTTAGCATATCTGTCATCTCACATAATGAGATGATAGATATGCTAAATAGCCTTTTCTTTATTCTTTTCTCTTTATTTCCTTTTCTTTATTCTTTTCTCTCTCTCTCTCTTATTGTTGTTGTTGTTGAGATAAGAGCACTTACAATCTAGCCTCTTAGCAAATTTCAAGTAAAGTTCAATATTGTTAACTACAGTAATCATGCCTTATAGTCTCCAAACTTATTCATTTTCTATAACTTAAGCTTAATGTCCTTTGACCAACAAATCCTCATTTTTCCCTTCTCCTATCCCTTGGCAACCACCATTCTACTGCATCTATGAGTTTAACTATTACAAATTCCATACACAATTGTTCCTTCAGTATCCTCAGGGGGTTGGTTCTAGAATCACCCTCAGAAATCAAAATCCACAGATGCTCAAGTTCTTTATATGAAACAATGTAGCATTTTTATATAACCTATGCATATCTTCCTATATGCTCCGAATCATCTCTAGATTACTTATAATACTGAAAAAAAATAAATGCTATATAAATTATTATTATACTATATTGTTTGGTGAATATTGATAAGAAAAAAATCTATACATGTTCAATAAAAGACGTAATTCTTTTTCTTGGATAGTTTCAATCCCTGGTTAATTGAATCCATGAATATAGAACCTGTAAATACAGAGGGCCAACTATGTGAGATCCTACAGTCTTTCTGTGCTTATTTCACTTAGCATAATGTTTTCTAAGTTCATCACATTATCAAAACCAAAATAAGCAAACACAACAATAAGGAAACCTGCCACTTTTAAGTAAACCTTTTTTAAAAGCTTTCTTCATTTTCCTCTCTTAGTGGGAAGTGTGTATGGAACCTAATTCACCCTTCTTTAGATTACTGAAGACATTGCCTGATAGACATATTCAGCTCCCACCTTCAGATGAGTTAAAATGGACTTTGGATGAGAGGAAGCCAGAACAAAAAACACATTTGGGAAACTGTTTTGTTTTTAAACAAAGTCCTTATGTGTCCTCATCTCCTCTCTCATATGTGCACTGAGTTAACTGGAAGATTTTTGGTCCATGCTTTTTTTGTTGTTGTTGTTTTGTTTTGGTTAATTTGTAAAGAGGATAATAATGTCCAACATTTCTGTTGTTACTGTTAAGACAAATGCCCTGCAGTGCCTTAATGGCTTTTCTTTGCCCTCTTCAAAAATGCAGGCCCCCATTGAACACTTGTATAAAGATTTCTCTCATTGTAATCTATTTCTCTGAAGAAATGACCTCAAAGTGAGCTTTCATTCCTGGAGAACATCCTTTGTCCTTCAGTTCCAGACATTGGCCAGATGGTACTGGCCCCTCTGCCAGTGTCTGTAGGGCTTGTATGTCTTGAGTGTCCGTTCCAAGCCATCTTGCCCCATTGGTTGGCAGATGCCCAACTGAGAACCTCTGTCATCCTGGTGAGTCACGTATCAGTGTAGAGCATTGGCATGATACCAGATGTACAGAGGTGACCTGGAACAAACCATGTGATTGCTGGAATTATTTACCAGTTCTTTCCCAGGATCTCTCCCCTACTTTTTCTATCACATTTCTTCCTTCCCTACCTACGAGTTTTTTGGTATTTAAATAATTCCACTTCATGGAATGTTCCTTATTTGTTTTTATCTTTTAGTTTATCTGATTCCTTATTGCCTTTATTTTTCTATAATCTTAATTTAAATACTTATACTGAGGTCTTTGCTAGTACCTGTCTTCCTCACCCAAGGTCCTGAACCAATTGAGAAATAAAAAACAGATAGAAAACCAAAATGTCATTTCTGTTACTGATAAACCCTGGGTTATAGTTTTGTATCCTTTGACCAACATCTCCTTATTCCCATCTCCAACTGCCTCAGTATTAAAGAATGCTAGGAGAGTAGTTGTTAGTTACAACTACTGTTACAAAGATGATGTTCCTGTTACAAAGATGATCACTATGTGAGTTAATGCATATCTTAGCTGGATTTAATCATAAGGTGTCTGTGTGCTTCAAGGCATCATGTTGCACATGATAAACACATACAGTTCTGTCAATTTTAAAATACAAATTTGGAATATATAACACTGGTATGCAAATGTGGCTTAGTGTGAGAGCCAGCAATGAGCTTGCTCACTCAGTAGTTCCTCAGTCTCACTGTGGGAACAGACAGTCCCAGAGGTGGTTTGAATCTGCAGAGCAGGCATGTCTCTCAGGTCCTTGGTTCCACTGTTCCGAGTGAGTGGAAAGAAGAGGGTCCAAATCCCCATCGTTGAGAAAATTAGACTAATGGCTATTACCTAACAATTGCATCTGATGGGAGGATGGGAAAAAATGGCAAGAGGCTAGGAGTATTTGGAGAAAATTTTTCATGGCAGCTAAAATGAGAGAAAAAAAATGGACTCCTTTCTAGATATTGTGCTTTTTTTTTTAACTTCAAAAGTGGAAAAAATAGGGCTGGGGATGTGGCTCAAGCGGTAGCGCGCTCGCCTGGCATGCGTGTGGCCCGGGTTCGATCCTCAGCACCACATACAAACAAAGATGTTGTGTCCGCCGAAAATTAAAAAAAATAAATATTAAAAAAAAATGGAAAAATATTTTTTCTGATTTTAGAATTAATACATTTACTGAGCTACTCATGGTATCAATGGCCATCTTGTTCCATTAAGATGTAGAACAGAATGTCAAATACCATAGGTTCCCAAGAAATTGCTAACAGTGGTTACCCGTGGCAGGGGTGAGAAAGAGATTGCTACTTTTCACTTTTATTTACTGGTGGATCATTGGAATATTTTTACTATCTGTATTTGTTATTTCAAATGAAAAAAAAAGTTTAAAAGCAATGTAAGCTACTGTTAGAAAACCCAACTTACAATTTTTTAAAAAAGTGCTTTTAAGAAAATTAAGCCTAATTAATGAACACAAATCATTCTTATCTTAGAAAACTTACCACTTACTTAATCAATCCTCTGCTCTTCCATTTGGGTTCATGTCATCTCAGGTTGAAAACTGCCTCTTTAATACTTATTAGCGCAGTATTTTAGATTAAATTAAAGCTTCATGGAAAAGTTATTATTGCCCATTTCTAAAAAAGTTTGGTATAGCTGTACATTGCCCTGAATCCCAATCAAGCCCTAAAATTTCATAAGTTAAATATGTATGGTTTTAGCTATAAATGTAGAGAGAAATATTTTAATAAGGTGCTATATACTTCAGCTGGGTGCAGAGTCACCCCTGTAATCCCAGTGGCTCAGGAGGCCACAGGAGAATTGTGAGTTCAAAGCCAGCCTAAGCATGTGTGAAGTGCTAAGCAACTCAGTGAGACCCTGTCTCTAAATAAAATGCAAAATAGGGCTGGGGATGTGGCTCAGTGGTTGAATGCCCCTGAGTTCAATCCCTGGTACCAGAAAAATAAATAAATAAGATGCTCTGCTTCATAAATGGACACTGAGCTGTGTGGTGGTGAATGCCCCATAGTAACTCAGGAGGCTAATGCAGGATTGCAAGATTGAGACCAACTTCAGCAATTTATTGAGGCCCTAAGGACTTGGTGAGACCCTGCCTCAAAATTAAACATTGAATCTGGGTGCAGTAGAGCACACCTGTAAATCCAGCGGCTCAGAAGTTTGAGGCAGGAGAATTGTGAGTTCAAAGTCAACCTCAGCAAAAATGCAAAGTGCTAAGCAACTCGGTGTGACCTGTCTCTAAATAAAAAATACAAAAAAAAAAAAAAATAGGACTGGGGATGAGGCTCAGTGGTTAAGTGCTCCTGGGTTCAATCCCTGGTACAAAAGATAAAAATTAAAAATTTTAAAAATTAAATATTGAAGAAAGCCTAGGGATGTGGCTCAGTAGCTAAGCATCTCTAAGTTCAATCCCCAGTACCAAAATTTTAAAAATAAAATAAAATAAATTGAAATTGAAAAATCAAGCTATTCTCTACTGTTTCCTTTGAGTTATTTTTGTCTTTTTACATAGAAAAAGAAGCAAAAGAGAAAGAAACACTAATTACTATCATGAAGACATTGATTGACTTTGTGAAGATGATGGTCAAGTATGGCACAATTTCTCCGGAAGAAGGTGTTTCCTACCTTGGTGAGAATCCTATCTAGTTTGTTTTTACTATGGTATTTTTATTATTCAAAGTAAATTTGGAATTTTATGACAATTCCCTCAATAATTTGATTATTTATGCCAAACAGCCCAAATCACTTGATAACCAGAAGTGCCCAGTTTGATGACGCCTACAAATAGAATTAACCAGAGTTTTCAACTCCTTATAGATCTAAATTGAGTACAGATATTTCACATTTATCATATTTAATCCTATTCACATTTTCTAACAATCTCCATGGTGGCAATCATATTACAATTTAACTCATTAGTTTTTTTTTTAATTGTGTTTGGAAGGCTGGGACTAACAAGTCTTGATTTTCCTTTTTGAAGACTGTATGGTGAGGAGGAAGGAGCACTGGCCTTGGTGTCAAGAGGAGTCCTGACTCCTGGGTCTATCTCTGTCAAGCTGAGGAAGGCACTGTGCTGTGCTGGGCCTCACTTCCTGCATCTATAAAATGAAGGACTGGGGTGAGCTGGGTGCTGTGGCAGATTTGTGGCAGGAGGATCACAGGATTAAGGCCAGCCTTGGCAATTTAGCAAGACCCTGTATCAAAAAAAAAAAAGTATACACACACACACACACACACACACACTCTCTAATATCATTCATGGACCAAATCCAGCCCAACATCTATTTTTGTATAGCACACAAGCTAAGGACTTTCACATGTATACATGGTTGGAAAAAACATCAAGAAGAATAGCATTTCCTCATATATGAAAACTGGATAAGATTCGTATTTCCACGTTCATGAATAAAGTTTTATTGGAACATAGCCATTCATTTGTTTCATGGCTGCTTTCCTGCTACAACGGCAGAGCTGAGTAGCTACAACAGACTGTATGGCCTACAAAGCCTAAAAGATCTGATTCTTATAAAAAAGTTACCAACACGTGATTCCTTGAATTTATAGATAAACAGAAAAACTTTGATGTTACATACAGGTTGTTTTTGTAATTAATTAAAATTAAACATAATTTAAAATCAGCCTTCTCAGTTGCACTAGACATTCTCAGTTGTACATTGCAAGTACTCAATTTTTATTTGTTTTTAAAAAGGACTTTTGTTTTCCTACTTGGTATTATTAGTCAACAGATACCTTTCATCCCCAATGTAGTTTGGGCTGGAAGACCTCATGGCTCCTTACTCTGAGTGGAGAAGGATAAATAAATAGAAGAGAAAATCTCATAGGGAAACTCAGAATTATCCTGCATGAACTCCACTTTTTCTATATGAGAATAGTTTTACTGATTTTTTAAATTATAAATGAGCATATTTATTTTGAAAAGTCATTCAACACAAAAAGAAATTTAAAAGGAAATGAAAATTTCTAACAATGTCAACATCCTGGTAACATTTTGGTTTATATACTTTTAGATGTTTTTCTCTCTGTGTGTATATACACCTATGTAATTTCTTTGTTTATCTTAATTTAACAAAAAATGAGTTCAGATTACACACAATGCTTTGTGGCCTACCCTAGTCCTTTACCAATAAAACAGATATTTTCAGACCCACAACTATCTTATATCAATACATAAGATACAGACACAGGAATTCCACATATTTGTCCTATAGAAATTCATCAGGGGTGCTGGGGTTGTAGCTCAGTGGTAGAGTGCTTGCCTAGCATATGTCAGGCACTGGGTTTGATCCTGGGTAACATATAAAAATAAATAAATAAAATGAAGATATTATGTTCATCTACAACTTTAAAAAAGTAGAACAAATTCATCATGGATGCTGCAAAGGCTTATGTGCAAGACACGTGTTCCTACTGTTTCTTACTACAATATGGTGGCCACCAACCACAAGTTGCCATTTAAATAAAAATTTTAAATCTAGTTTCTTAGTTACACTAGGCACATTTCAAGTGCTCCGTTATCACATGTAGCTAGTAGCTAATGTGTTGAATGGCACAGAAATGAATACTTCCATCATTGCAGAAAGTTCTGTTGGGTGACATTGGTTTATAGGAGAAAGACTAGATGTTCCACAAGAAGAAAATATCTAAATAATTTACTTATTTTTATCTTAGACTATTAAGCTTTTATTTTAAATACTTGTGTTTTCAAAATAATTATATTTATTATGTTTGGTGACAAGGGAAAATGTTCATGATAAAAATATCCTAATTTTGGAGTTAAAAATGGATATATAGCCTGGTGTGGTGCTGCAAGCCTGTAATCCCAGCGGCTTGGGAGGCTGAGGCAGGAGGATCGCAAGTTCAAAGCCAGCCTCAGCAATTTAGTGAGGCCCTAAGAAACTCAGCAAGACCCTGTCTCTAAATAAAATATTAAAAAGGGCTGAGGATATGGCTCAGTGGTTCAATCCCTGGTACCAAAAAAAAAAAAAAGGATATATAGTTAATACTATTAAGTGTTGTATGTATGCTATGTTCTGCTTTATGTTAAAATGCCATGTCAGTTTCATTCCTCAGTGCCTTTGTTCTCATTAATTTTCCCTTCTTCTTTCTCTGCTTTGGAACTTATATATTAGAAAGTTCACACACACACATTTGTATATATGGATACACACACACACACATATAAAATTGAAAGGAAATATACCAAAACATCTCTGGGCATAATAAGTGTGACTTTTAGAAATGATTTTCTGTAGCTGGTACAGTGGCATATATCTATAGTCCCAGCTACTCTGAAGGCTTGAGCCCAGAAGTTCAAGGCCAGCCTGGACAACATAGTAAAACACTGTCTTTAAAAAAGAAAGAAACAAACAAAAACCCCTGTTTTCTTAATTTACTCCAAAATATATTTAACTCTTATAGTCAGAATATAAGCTGTATTTTCAGGTATTGTTCTGTGTTAGCATACTGATTTTTGGCAGATACCATGGGACTCCATCTCCAGGTCCCTGAGTGAGGGCAGTATGGGTACAAGAGAGAATCAACCAGCCTTTTCTCCTGACCTGTGAGCCAGTGACAAGCAGGGATTTAGCATTCCGTTCTGGTCCCTCAGTGTATGGTGATTACAAAGCTTGTCAGCTATGGTTGCTATTTCTAAAAGAAGAAAACAGTGCATTACAAACAAAATAGACTACTTTTCTACTCTAAATAGGAGTGGGGTGGGAGGAGTTTATTTGAAGAGAAATTATACCAAATACTAATGGAATTTTTACTGACTAATTACAAATAAATGCTTCTTTGCAAATGGCAAAAAAAAAAAAAATCTATCCTAAAAGAGCAAGTGGGATATGTGACTGGTTGAATATTGAAGTGCCTAGGATGTGGATTCTAACTCATTGTCTACCTGGTGGATGTCAGCCTAGACACCTCATGTCTAATAACACTTATGTGATGTTACTTCAAAGAGCAAAATTAGAACTTACTAAATTTTTTTTATATTTAGAGAATATTAGTTTCTGAAATCAAATCCACATAGATAATATCTTACATATTTAATACAGTGTGTTACCCCGATACAAATGGAAAAAAAAGTTTAATGTTTCTAGACCAATATAGTTGTTAATTTCTGTACAATGCCAACTTAACACAGTAAATTGGGATATTTTTTTCAAAGTTGACAGCACAGTTAAAGTTTCTAAAAATTCAAATTTTATATTTATATAAAAAGACTGAGAGTAGCAATATGTTATGCATCAATAGCAGCAACAGCTTTTCCAGGTAGAACTTACTAATTTTGAACAAGGATACAGATTTCAGCTTAGTATGAATAGGAAAATTGACAATTTGGGTATGGTGGTGTACAACCATATCTCAGCTACTCAGAAGGCCGAGGCCAAAGGATCACAAGTTTGAGGCCAGCCTCAACAACTTAGTAAGACCTTAACTAAAAATAAAAAATAAAAATCTGGGTATGTAGCTCAGTGGTAAAGTGCCCCTGGGCACTTCATCATAAAAAGCAGAATCATAAAAGTCCTAGTATCATAAAAGCAAAACAAAGCAAAAGACTACCTAACAGTAAAGCTAGCTGCCTCCTTATACAAGGCCCTAGTGAAAATCCTGAATGACAGGAATTTAACTGTTTGGCTAAAGCAGAAAGGTAATTTATGGCCTCGGGTAACTGAAAAGTTAACCAGGGTTTGGGGGTTGGTAGAAGGGTAGTTTGAGTTTGTGAAGTCCATGAGTAGTTGATTCATTGCAGACAGGCTGCTCCCTGTGGGAAATAGATGCCTGGGACATCCCTAATCTAATCTTAACATCTTCATCACATAGCAATCCCTGTGGAAAGAGAGCCACCATCTCTCAGTGGTCCTAGCATTGAGTCTCATGGATCTAGACTGAGTCAAGTGTTCATCGAATCAGTCACTATCGATCAGGGTTATGAAGACCCTGGTTATCAGGTTTGGGTTACCCAGTCACCACTGTAGACAATATTTCTGAGATTGAGAGAACACTGGGTTTCCCAAGGGAAAATCTAGGTACAGTACCACAAGGCATTATGTAGGTCAAAACCACAGGTGTCTACTTTTGGTGTCAACCCTAGAAGTACTCTAGTAGTGGCCACAGAGATGCAGAAGAAACTTCTGCAATTAATTGAGTAGAGGGAGGAACTTGAGAATCTCAAATGAAATGCCTTACATCCTGAGAATCTATGATTCTTGGAAATAAAATAAGGTCAAATCACCTTGCTAGCAACATTAATATTTTGGAATTGTTAGTGTGATATTTCTGGTGAGATTTAAACATTTTTAGTAAAACTTTGATATCATCACTCAGGAAATTATATTTCTTCTCCTTCTTTCTCCAGAAAATTTGGATGAAACAATTGCTCTTCAGACCAAGAACAAGCTAGAAAAAAATGCTACTGACAATAAAAGCAAGCTTTTTCCAGGTAGGATATACTTAACTATTTTTTAGCTTTTAGAAGAATAATCCTTTTGCATTATAAATAATTTAGTACATATCAGCACAGAATTACAGATTTCAAAAAGTTTTAAAATCTTAAATATAACCATAGAATTAAGTAAATATAACCTTGGGTATTTCGTGGCGCATCATGGCACAAAAATCTGATCTCAAAAAGCACTGAAAAGTAATGTAAGTCTTTACCAAAGATTCTCTGAGGTGGCTGGTGAAGAAGGAAAGATGGTTACATCACAAAACTGAGCAATCCTTTCTAAAAGTCTCTTTTAGGTATCTTTTTTTTCTTCCCAGATCACCACTTCTCCAGAATACTGTCCCTGGTCATCTACCCCCCGCCCCATACACACACTGTCCTTCTCTCCCAGATCTTCTCTCTTTTCTGGGAAGGTCTGGGCCTCTATGTAGTACAACTTCCTTCCTTCTCAGTTACTTGGTTCTATATCCTCCACCCACAACCCTCGTCAGCCCAGGAAACAGACACCATGTAGCTGAGCTGTGCAAAGAAGACTCCTTTCAAGGGGGGTGGATGGAGCAAAATGAGAAAGGACTGACAATTGCAAATTATTATACTTTAATATTGCCCCAATAGCAGAAATGACATACATATTCTTTTTTTTAAAGAGAGAGAATTTTTAATATTTTTTGTTGTTGCTTTCGGCAGACACAACATCTTTGTTTTGTATGTGGTGCTGAGGATCGAACCTGGGTCGCGCGCATGCCAGGCGAGCGCACTACCGCTTGAGCCACATCCCCAGCCCAACGTACATATTCTTGATAGTGTAATGTATGGCCCCTTAAGATGAATTTTTTTTAATTTTGAAAGGAGGACTTTTGGTTGTTGTTTTGTTTGTAGCAGTGCTGGGGATTGAATCTGGGGCCTCATGCTTGCCATACAAGTAGTCTACCACAGAGCTACATCCCCAGCCCTCAAGCAGTTGTTTTGTTTTGTTTTGGGATTTGAACCCAGGGCCCCATGTCAAGCAATTTTTAATAAACTTTCTTAGAGACCAAAGCAAGGAACAAAATTATACTACAAATATGAAAAAAATATATACATTTTTATATAATGCAGTGCACAAGGGAATATTTCACACAATACAATAACCAATTTCTTCTTTCCTATTTTTTCCTATAATAAAAATATTGGGTTAAAATAAGTTTGTTAGACAGCTTGAGTTTCCTGCTAGCTGTTTAAAAATTAATTAACTTATTTATTCTAATTTGTTATACATTTCAATTCATAGTACACAAATAGAGCACAATTTTTCATGTCTCTTGTTGTACACAAAGTAGACTTAAACCATTCATGTCTTCATACATGTACTTAGGGGAATGATGTCCATCTCATTCCACTGTGTTTCCTATCCCCATACTCCCTCTCTTACCCCTCCCTCCCCTTTGTCATATCCAAAGTTTCTCCATTCCTCCCATGCTCCACCCCTATCCCCATTATAGATTAGCATCTACTTATCAGAGAAAACATTCAGCCTTTGTTTTTTGGGGATTGGCTTATTCCACTTTGCATAATATTCTCCAGCTCTATCCATATACCTGCAAATGCCATGATTTTATTCTTTTAGTGCTGAGTAATATTCCATTGTGTAAATATACCATAGTTTTCTTTATCTAGGTTGCTTCCACAATTTAGCTATTGTGAATTGAGCTGCTATGAATATTGATGTGGCTGTGTCACTGAAGTATGCTGTTTTTAAGTCCTTTGGGTATAGATTGAGGAGTGGGACAGCTGGGTCAAATGGTGGTTCCATTCCTAGTTTTCTAAGGAATCTCCATACTGCTTTCCAGATTGGTTGCACCAATTTGCAATCCCACCAGCAATGTATGAGTACGCCTGTTTTCCCACATCCTCGCCAACATTTTTTGTTGTCTGTATTCTTGATAACTGCTATTCTGACTGGTGTGAGATGAAATCTTAGAGTAGTTTTGATTGCAAATATTAGTGACAATTGTTTTCCAGTGGTTACCTACAGGTTATAAGTTTCAGTTCAATACAGGATTGCTAGAAGGAATACAGCTACTTAATATAGTGAGAAGTGAGCAAATGTTTCTCCATTTTGACAGCAAGATTCCAAATCTTTTCTTTATATTAGAATAGCCAGGGATAATGGAGCATGAAGAAAGGCTAAAAAAAGAGTTCTGCTTTATCCCCAAATCCTTGAGATTGGATAACTATAGTTATTCTCACTTGGAATCAAGACCAACAAATTCACTTTGGGACTTGGCATACCGCACTTGATCATCAACACTGATTAAAGTTTACTTTAATCAAATAAGGCTGAGAGTGTGGCTCAGTGATACAGCATCTACCTAGCACGCATAAGGCCCTGGATTTCATTCCAGCACTGGGGGGGGGGGGAAGAAGGACAAATAACTGGGCTGAGCTTAGTGGCACACAAATCCCAGCTACTTAGAGGTTGAAACAGGAGGATTGCTTGAACCTAGGAGTTCAAGGCCAGCTTAGGCAACAGAGCGAGATCCCATCTCTAGAAAATAAAATAATAATAATCTATCCTTTAGTGATATTGCAGCATAAGGGAAAGAATGCTAAACTAGAATCTGGACAGCTGGAAGGGGGGCCCAGCTTTTTGTTAACTCATTGGGTGATCTTAGGAATATCTCTTCCTTCTCTGGTCCTCAGTTTCTTCTGTGAAGCGAGGTAGAGGGTTGAACTAGATAATTACCAAGATCCTTTTCAGCTCAAAAAAAAATAATCTAACCTCAAATTGTACCTTTTCAATAAAGTTTTTTTTGCATTAGGAATTAATGCACGCATAGGAAATCATGCTGTAACAACAATGCCCAATCTGATTACAGTGCCATCAGAGAAGAGCCATGAAGAAACAGACAGTACCAAGGAGGAAGCCGCTAAGATGGAAAAGGAATATGGTACCTTGAAAGATTCCACAAAAGATGACAGCTCCAACCCAGGAGGAAAGACAGATGAACCAAAAGGTACAGAATTGACAGCTCTAGGTCGGCAATGAAATTGGGAAGCAAATTTCCTTAATTATTTAACAAGTGATTGCAACACAACAAACACCTTTAGGGACCTGGTAAAAACCACAAATCCAGCACATCGAATTTTCTTAAATAGCTTAAATATGTCTGTGCAATATAAAATTTACTTCTTCCCAGGATTTCAGAAGCTTTTCCAGGTACCCAAAGAAAAAGATTCATTGAGTATATAGGTTCTAAGTTGTCAGTCACCTGATTTGATTTCAGGTCAGAAAAGAATATGGATCTGGTTGTATAGTTCAATGGTCCAATTGCCTCCAAAACCCACATTTTTTATTACTAAGATTGAACCTGGGATACTTTACCACTAAGCTACATCCCCAGCCATTTTTGTTTTGAGACAGGGTTTCACTAAGTTATTGAAGGTCTCACTCAATTGCTAAGACTGGCCTCGAACTTGCAATCCTCCTGCCTCAGCCTCCCAAGTTGTTGAGATTACAGGCATGCACCACCATGCCCAGCTGGATCCCCTGTGTTACAAAGTTATGTTGTTGCTTCATAGAAAATTTACATCCTTGTATCTCAGATAATCTTTTTCTGAAATCTTGTGTCTTTACCAGAAGCTGTGAACATGTGGTTCGAAACCAACCTTATCTTTTGGTCATTATGATACAGTGAACTCTTTGGTATAACTGGAACCCTACTTATGTCTTACCAATTTCTCATTAGTAGGTTCATGTAAAGTTTTTTTTCCCTGGGAGCTAACATAGCTAGGTTAGTGTTCTCTCTTGAAGCCAGGAGCTTGGCACCTAGATAATTTATCATCTGAAACCACATCATTGGGCTCTTTTTTCACTGGTTATTTTGTATAACCCTAATTGTCAATGAATGAGTGAACTTTGCTTATTCCTTGCTGTGATATGTTGTGAGACTACGAGGACTGGTCATGCTCATGATATAGCTCTTAATTTTGGAGGGATTACTTGGTCCACTTGTAAGTTCCCCACCCAGTCTCTCTCCTGCTTACACAAATTGACACACGTTCACATTCACACTTGATAATAGACCCATACTTAACAATGCCTAAATGTGATGTAGAAAAAGAAACTAGCTATGTATTTAATACCTTGTAATTCAATAATAGCAAAAATGTACAAACTAATTCCCTTTTTTTTAATAACTACCTCATTCATTAACACTTTATATTGCATTTTCCATTCCTGTAAGTTGTTGCGGTTGATGAAAATGATGATGATGTGGAGATAGGTTAACTTGGGCAGTGGGATTTCCCTTCATTTCTCCTTTGTCTGCTTAGCATATTCTCTCTGCTTTCTGACAACAGGGTATTATGGGTCCACTTCACACTTTCCTTTCACAAGACTTGAAACCAATTCCTGTTCAAGGAGTTCTAGTTCCTTCTTGTATAAAAATATAGTTAGAGACTTGAACCTGGGTTTTATGGCTTCAAATATGTTGTGATAGGGGTGGGAATATAGCACAGGTCGGTCGAGTGCTTGCCTCACATCCCAAGGCCCTGAGTTCAATCCCTAGCACCATTAAAAAAAAAAATGAATGAATATGTTGTGATAGTGGCCAAAGTTGCTGCTGCTGCTTCTATTTCAGCTATTGGGGCCTTTTTAGAGACAGGCTGAAAAATTTTTTCTTCTTAATGTACAAGTTCATGTAGTTTTCCTAGCTCATGAAGCTTTATATTACTGTAATCTAACATGGATTTCATGAACCGTCATAATTTTCTTTTACATTGACAGGTGACATATCCACTCCAACTGTTTGGTAGTAGACTGTGTGGAGAAAGGATATGAGTTTGCATGGGCTCAGTTAGAAAGACTTTGGGGATGATTAATTCATAATGTTTGTCATGGGCAAGGGAAAGTTGAACTGGTAATAGCTGTGCCATATTTGAGGACCCTGTATGTCCACTCTGGATAAGTGACAGCGTTTTATAAATTGTGGTGAAATATATACAAAATTTACTACCTTAACTACTTTTAAATCTACAGCACAATGACAGTAAGTATATTTACATTATTGTGCTACCATGAACACTAATCATCTCCAGAACACTTTTTACCACTCATTTCTCCTCCCCCAGCTCCTCACAACCATGATTCTACTTTCTTTCTGTATAAATTTGATTACTCTAGGTACCGCACATAAGTGGAATCACACAGTATACATCCTTTCTGTGACTGGCTTATTAAAATTAGCATAATATCATCAAGATTCATTCATGTTGTAGCATATCAGAACTTCCTTTCTTTTTAAGACTGAATAATACTCCGATGTATTGGATGTATATGCTGTATTTTATTTATCCATTCATTTGTCTATGGACCTTTGGGTTGTTTTTACCTTTTGAACAATGCTGCTATGAATATTGGTATACCAATATTTCCTTGAGTCCCTGCTATCAATTCTTTGGGATATATATCCAGAAGTGGAATTGTTGGATCATATGGCAATTCTGCTTTTAATCTTTTGAGAAATCATCATATTGTTAACCATAATTGCCATACCATTTTAAATTCTCACCAGCATGCGCAGGGGTTCCAATTTCTCCACATCCTTACCAATACTTGCTATTTTCTGGTGTTTTTTCCCCTGCTCCAGTTTAGGTTTTTATACTAATGGATGTGAGGCAGAGGATAAGTGGTGAACTCTTGAAAGATAGCTAACCAGGAAAAGGGTGGCTCATTGCCTGAGAGAGAACCAGCATACAGCATGACAGCTCTCCCCCAGCGGATAGTCAGCAGGCCTCAGTCACCCCCTCTGAGAGCAAGCCATGCACAATGATTGTATTTCACTAGAACACAGCAGAACATAGGTTAGGTCCTTCATCTTGCTGAGGCGACATGTTCAGTGCTTAAGACAATACCTTATATTACTATGCAAAGATTCCTAGGAATAGATGCTGACAGATCTCTTTGCTTTTTTTTTTTTTTAAGAAAACATATAAAAAGGGAATATACCAGAGATGATTCTTGGTAGCCCACTATTGCCCATACAGTATATAGGCCATGTTAGTTAGCTTTCTTGTACTCTAACAAAATACCTAAGTTAATCAACTTATAAAGAGAGAGGATTTATTTTGGTTCATAGTCCATTATCTGTTGGCCCCATGACTACACCTATGGTGAGGCAGCACATCTGGTTTGGAACACATAATCGAGCAAAGCTGCATGCCTTATGGCTAGGAAGCAAAAGAGAATGAGGAAGGGGCTGGGGTCCCACAGTCCCCTCAGCACATGTCCCCAGTGATCTAGACAACTCCTACTAGGTCCCACCTCTGTAAATTTCTATAATCTCCCAATAGTGGCACCCTGGGAAACAAGTGTTTATCACATAGACCTTTGGGGGACATTCAAGACCAAACCATATCAGTGTTTTTAGAAATTAATAGTAAGGAAATATTTCCCATTTTTGTTATGATTTCCATTAGAGAGAAATGGGGAGCAAGGAGGGTAAGCTCTATCATCTAGGGTTATTCTTTGTAATGGCTCTCCTGAAATATTAGGAAGAATATAGATACTTAAGGTTAAAATTAGCCTTCCACCCCAATATTAGGAATTAGGATTTATTTATACTACCTTGACCCCATTATTCCAATACAGTTTAGAAAACACAAAACTGAGCTTATACTCAGCTTATGCTCAACATTTTTTGGGGAAATATAATTAATCCCCCAAAGGACATACTAAGTTGTTTTTTTTTTTTAAATCTTGTACTTACAGTTGATTATTTGTGCTTTTTTCCAAGGGCTATTTTACTTCTCTGTCACAAAACCCAGAGAGACAACACCCATTATCTCTAGGCAGAAAAATAAAAGCATGCATAGGGTGAAGACAACGTTGTCTAGGTTTCCTGAGACATTTATCTGCAATAAATAAGCACTTATTCCATCTGCATGCCTGGCACTGTGTACAGGAAGCAGCTAGAGAGGGACCATAAGAACTAATGCACCAGGCACAGTGGCATATGCCTGTAATCCCAGTGACTTGTGAGGCTGCGGCAAGAGGATCACAAGTTCAAGGCTAGCCTCAGAAACTTAGCAAGACCCTATCTCCAAATAAAAAAAAAAAATAAAAAGGGCTGAAGATATGGCTCAGTGGTAAGGCACCTGTGGGTTCAATTCCAAATACCAAAATAAACAAAAAACAAAACAAAAACCCAATGCCTATCTTTGAAGACTTTAAAAAGTTTGAAACAACCAAGGAATAGTTCTTACCCCATGTGTAGGAAAGTACAACATAGGCCATGTGAGCACATACAGATCCCACTTACTGATGAGCCAGACATGTGAAGAAGAGGCTCCCTTTAGGAAGGAAAGTTGGAGGGCATTACAGAATAGAACAAAGGATGAGATAATGGCCCAGCTAAAACCGCTTAAGAAAATAATTGTTAGCAGAACACGCTGGCAACAATATTTGTAGGGAGTTTGTTTTGGACTTGGGATGTGAGATGTTAGCCCATGTAACTGCAATCGATATTTATTAATCATGCCAAGTCTTGGACAGAGTCCCATGAGCAATATAACTAGGAATAACAACAACACCCCCTTACATTTATGCCACACTTCAATCTACAGAACATGTCTACGTGCATCTCAGTTGAAGTTTCATGTTAAAAAACAATTAATTACCAATGATGAAAAATGACACACTCACCTTTGCATATAATTTTAGTTAGTTAGACTAGATTCTTGCTTTCTACTGTGACTCACATTAGGGTTTTTTGTTTTTGGTTTTTTACCAGGGATTGAACCCAGGGGCGGTCAACCACTGAGCCACATCCCCAGCCCTTTTTTTTTTTTTCTTTTCATTTTTTATTTTGAGACAGGGTCTCCCTAAGTTGCTGAGGCTGGCTTCAAACTTGCAATCCTCCTACTTCAGCCTCCTGAACCACTGGGCCATAGTGCCCGGCAAAGATTTTTTTTTAATGTTGATTTCTAAATCTTACAATTATTTGAATGATTCAAT